CTGCTTAAATCTATTTTGCTGCAAGCAGGGAATCCTAAAAACTCATTCAACCTTTAGTTGAAGCCGGGCCATATATGCCTTATCTCCTTAACTCTTTCTGCTTTGAGCTGTGGGGTTCGTAGAGTGTATGGAAAGGCATGTTTTTATTACAATCCAGTACTAGTACTTCTCATTTTGAACAACCCAAAGCTGCCTGCATTGCATGACTTCCTAAGGCAGCTCATATTTCATGTGCTACTAAAGCGTCACATTTCCATTTTTATCTGAACACAATTCCTAAAACTCTCCATAAAAAAGTTAAATCTGTGTTCAGCAAAATGTGCAGTGCAATGCATGTATCATTCATCCTTCATTATGCAGAAGTTTGAGTGCTTGTGTTACACATCCCAGCACATAATCTACCACTTGTCTCCACACTAGGTGAGCTGCATATAAATTGGTTATGCTAATAACACCATCAGTCTTGATCTTTTCAAACACTGACAGTTTAGGCAGTTAAGTCAGTAAGGACACTTAAACATTAGTCTCTGTTAGACAACACTTAGTGTGAATTAAAGACAAAACATTCTAGGTTAAGAAAGCCATGTGTTTTAATTCCCTCTGATGTTTTAAAAGGACTTAAGTTTCACAGACTTGGTAGATTTTAAATCGAAGGTACATAATTACATTCTTTGAAAGAAGTGCCTGCGACACCAACCCAATTGTCCATTTTCCACACATCCACTCAGTACTTGGTTTGTGGTGGCGTGAGGAACAAAAATGCAAAGGCAATTCAGACAATCCCTGTTTCCCATGTGCTTCTAAATGGACCTAACAAGAGTACAGCTAAATGCTGCCAGATGTTTCCTCTAACTTACGTCTTTCATTTAATAAAACAAAAATGAAGTAAAACATCTGGAACTTGCCCTTATTCATGAGCTGCTACTACATTTACTGGAGGGAACTGAAGTATTATTAGTATAAAAGTTTGGTGGTGGTGTTTTGTTTTGTTGTGTTTTTTTTTTTAGTTAGGTCATACTGCCCTCTACTGACTCAGTTACTAACTTTAAAAATCCCAAACATGTTTTATTTGTAGAAGATGTCTGTCTCAGGGATGGTCGTTTTCTTTCTTTAAAGATTCTGAGGTGACAGATATTTCACTTAGCAATATCTCAGTCACAAAAGGAAAATACTGCATAAAACTGTTGTTATAAAATAGGACAGACATGAATGCCATCCTAAAATATCTAGAACCAGCAAAAAAATTAAAAAGAAGGACAGACATGGGAGGGTTGGGAAGGGAGTGGGGAAAGAGTGGACAGATACTGAACAGTGCATTAGAACAGATGAGGGGAAGAACCGTTTGAAAGGAGTATTATGCATTATATATATATGTGAGAACAAATATATATGTCTGGAACAAAAGGTGCATTGTTGGGTGGGCTAGGGGAGAGGAAGGAAAGGGGGAGAAAATGAATACATTTAAAAAGTTAAATGATGGTCCAATTAAAAAAAAATTGAGGTGAGACTTGGACTTTGGAATTTTAAAAAGGTTCTATTTAATGAGAGAAATTGGGAACCACTCTATAGCCAACAAGTTTGAAAATCATGAATCACTCTGGCAACTCTAAAATGATATACAATAGTAAAAGGCCATTAAAACCTGGAGTCCCTGAAAAAGATCAAAGAGAAAATCTACTTAAGAGTTTGCTCTGACCGATACTGGGGTTCAAACGGAACTGAGATCATCTAGTCCACGGGCTTACATGTGCAAACCTTGGGTCATTTATGGCCTCTACATGGGTGTGACTTGCCTAACATCATTAAAAGCTTGAAATTAGTGATGCAGTGATTGCACTTTCCAACCTGCCCTGGACTCTCCAGAGAACCTCAGGAGGTGCTGCTTCTATTGTATTCCCTTCTCTTCTCACCATTTTTCCTCATTAGGAACTTTAAGCAGTCAGTGGAGATTGTACACCAGTGTTCAGCAAAGCATTATTCACTATCGCAAGAACATGGAAACAGCCCAAATGTCAAACTACAATCGAATAGATTATGGTACATTCACACGATGGAATACTACACAGCAGGCAGGAGCAATTTTGTAAATCACTACCTAACTTGGGAGGTACTGGTGAATGTTATGCTGAGTGAACTAACTCAGTCCCGTAAGGACGAATACGGTGTAAGACCATTACTGTAGAACGAATATATGAGGATGCAAAGGGGTAGAGAGGTGAGGATGGATGTAGGGGCATTAATCATAGGTTGAACAACTTATAGGTTGAGGGTGTGTGTGTAAAGAAATGGGAAAAATCCAGTGTCAAAGCAACCTATACAAACTTTGTAAATAAACCAGTATTAAAAAAAGCGCAGTCAGTGGTTACATTATACCAGATCGTGGAGTTCCCAATGCTAACAGCAATAATGCGCCATGGGTCTTAGAAGAGCTGGCTGCAGACAATGATTCACACATGATAATTCAATGTGCTCTAGCTTTAGTGTATCATCTAGTTAGAAAACCTCTGCAAAATCAGGAGCAGACCCACAAGCACTTCAATATTCTCCTCACCACAGCTCGACCTTGAATTACACCAGTGACCTCGACCTTGATTCAAGCCTTGACCTACAAGAGTCAGCATCATGGCTAGCAGTACGAGGGTTGGATATTGCAATCCTGAAGTCTCTTCTTAGACTATCAGATCATAAAACTTTAGGACCAATAGGACAGGTTTTCACAGCACAAGTAAAGTATATCTCAATATTTGCTGAGGTGACACCCTACATAACTACGAAGGCCTTTGCTGAAGATGGACTCTCCCACGCTACCCTCATGCCTGGAGTGGGGCAAGAGATCAAAAGACTTGAGGATGCTGAGACTTAATGGATAAACACAGGCCTGAAATACTCCCATACCTCACGGCGTGAAGGTTAGAAAACCAGGTATTCTCACCTGTGAATTTCCCTAGCATTTGCAAAGTTGCATATACCAGGAAATTAAAATCAGATCCAACCTTTCAAGGAACAACTTTCAGTATTGGATTGTGAAATAGATACAGCCTTGGGCAAGCCACCCATCAGGAAGAGAGAGAGCACTGGACAAGGACGCTGAGGCTTTATGGAAGTGTTCCGAGCTACTGACCATGAGATGAAGCATCAAGCCCACAACCAGCTGAACTCATTAAAGAACTCTTTGCCATTATGAATCAATCCACAAATCAATATGCCAAGAAATAGGGAGGAAAAACGCAAAACCACAACAAATAAAAAATATTAACTACTCTGGCAACCTGGGCCTTCAGAGCAGCAAGTAGGCCAGAGCTCACAGGCTTAACTTCCTAACTGCTGTCCAGCCAGCTCACCACTGTATCAGCAGCCTGACCTCAGTGGACAATAGGTGACTGGTCCAACCGACTGGTCCAGTAGCTTCCTACAGATTTAAATGACATTTCGGCAATAGCCAGCCACCGATTCCAGCTTTGCAGCACAAAGCAAGCTCATTCTCTCTGCCATATCTTCAATTTCTCAGACAGTTATCATGCACTCTCCCTCAATGTTCTTCTCCAGCTAAACATATCTGTTCCTTCAAACATTCCCTCTGGCACATGGATTCTGGGCTCACCATGGAGAGGTCACTCACCTCTAAATATGCACTTACTGGTCAATGACCTTTAAATTTGGTGGTGTTCAGAGTGAAATATGACGGGTGTAATGTATCCTATACATTAGGGAGCTCTGGTGGCCTAGTGTTAAGAAGCTGTGCTGCAATGTCAAAGGCACATGGTGTGAAACCACCAGCTTCTCTGCAGAAGGATGAGCAATCTCCTCTTGTGCAATTAACTGCCTTGGAAAACCTGCTGGAAGGTCAGCTACAGATCAGTTCCAACTTGATGGTATATAACTAACAACAAAGTCTTCCATGTAGAGGTCGTCCCCACCATATGATGGAGACTCCATCACAAATTGGTTCTGACAGTATTTGTTGGATGGCTACCCCTCCACCCCAGTTTTCCTTATTATTGCCTTTTGTTATCAACAGCTTTATAAATCTGTTAGCATGAGAATAGTCATATTAGCAAATTATGCCCTATAATATTGTTTGTAGTGCTCACTATTAATGGGGAGAGAAAAACAATAAAACCAAATAAATGAAAGAAACCAACGAACCCAACTGGATTGTCCTAAGTGCAGTTAAACGTACACCAGTATGTCAGGAACTATCTGTACCTACTATCCAGGCCGTATTTCCTTCTCTTTCAGGAACTGATTTATATTGATTTATCTCATTCCTCTCTCTCCTTGACCAAGTTCTTAAACCACCTTGCTATATTGTTGTTGTTAAGTGCCGTCGAGTCACAGGCGACTCACAGAGACCCTATGAAGGAGAGTACTCAATGGTTGGGTGTCTCTCATCCTCTCTGCAGGTTCATAGGGTTTCCAGAGGCAAGCTATTACAGAAGTGGATGCCACTCCTCCTTCCAACCTTGCTATATTGAGATAACTTTTTTAAAAATCTGCCACTTTTCCATTTTAAAAATTAAGAATATTAGAAGACACTAGCTATTTCTTGAAAAAGGTTCTCTAGTTATTTTAGGGTGTGCCAATGACTTCCCTTTCACTCTTCATCCTGACAGAAGTGAAGAGTGTGAAGAATTTCCACTTACACAGAATTCAGGTCTCAGGAGACCATGGGGCAGAGATCATGCATGGAGATTAAAAAACCTGCCAATATTAAGTAATCTAACAGAGAATCTAACAAGAAGCAGAAAATGAAGGCCACTTCTTTCTCTACATTAAGCCAACATAAAAAGTAACAGATTAAAAAAAAGTAAACCATTATCAGTAAACCAGTCGTAATGACCCTTGATCCAGTGACTTTTTGAAATGCAGGTAAAAGTTTCAAGTAACTTGGAAGGTACTTGGCATGCCAAGGCCATCATCCTCGTAAAGCACAAGCCCTTCTGCTCTCTGATGAGGTCTCAAAAGCACAGTTCAATCCTAGGAAGATGATCCTCGGAGAATCATTTGGGAACTCGTCGGAGTTCGTTCATGAGCCAAAGGGCAACGCTGAGCAGGGCCAAGGAGCCCGACTGGTGAGTAGCAGCCAAAGGCGTTGGAACGTACAGCAGCAGAGTGGAAATGCCCAGGCCCACCTGTAACAAAGGAAGGAGAGCTGTGAGCAAAGTGGGACCTACAAACTCAGAGCTGAAAACTACCAGGCAAGGAAAACCAGATACACAACCTTCTGCATTTTCCCACCCAAACACCTCAGCATTTTAAATTCTTATGTAAATATATGTAGAATGAGGGAAATTCAAACAAGATACTTCCCCTTTAACCTGTCCCAGCTTTCCTCCCAAGAACATAGCCACACTTGAACTTGTGCATGTTTACAGAAAAAAAAGTTCTGTGCTTAAAAAACTCCTTGTTTTGCAACTTGCCTTCCTCACTCCATTAACAAGAACTTTTGGGGGGTGGTTACTGTGAATTTAATCAAAGTTTACAGAAAAGCTGGATTTTCATTCATTCGTTGTTGTGAACAATAACTCTTGAGATCATATTTAATTGTTGTATGGTATTCTACAGTATCCAAGTACCATAGTGGCTTATTTAACCATTCAGGTGGTTTCTAAGTTTTCAATATGACAACAATTGTACATGTGTTTTTGTATACTGGAATAGCTCTAGCTCTTATAGCAGCTCCTAATAAGTCATTCAGGTGGGATAGACTCAAGGTCATATTTTGGTTGCCTCGGATTTGGTTTAATTTTCCTCAGCTTTAGCTTGAATTTGCATGAGTAGTTGGTGGTCTGTTCCACAATCAGCTCCTGGCCTAGTTTTCACAGCTGATATTGAGCTTCTCCAGCGATTCTTTCCACATATGTAATCG